TGTGTGAGACCAGGCTGCCCTTTATTTCTTTGAAAGCTTGCTAGCCTTTCAGAGGCTGTCGTCTGGTAGCCCACCAAAACTAAACTGCAGATGACTTTCACTTGGCTTGCACATCATTTCAGCATTCTCATTATTGAGACAGGATCTCACTCCATCATCTGGGCTAGAGAATGGTGGCATCTTCAACCACCATCTTCAGAATGGTAGCTCACTGCAACTTCAAAATCCTAGGCTTAAACAATCCCCCTACCTTGGCCTCCTGAGCAGCTGGGTCTACAGGTGTGCACTACCAAACCTGGCTAATTTTTCTATTTTTAGTCGAGACGGGGTCTTGCTCTTGCTCAGGCTGGTCTTGAACTCCTGCTCTCCCACCTTATCCTCCCAAAGTACTAGGATTACAGGCATGAGCCACTATACCCACCCTCATTTAAACATTTTAGATCCAACATACTAAAATTTGGAGATTTCACCTAAAAATCCAGATTCTTGTGGATTCAGGAGATCTAGTCACACTAGACCCACGCACAGTGCAACAAGACCAGTTGGAGCCAAGCTGTGGCTGCCCCTTTTGGGTGGGGCTGCTTGTGTTTCTCTCTCTGCCATGGTCGTGCCCTCTTCTTCTTATTCCTATACCTTTTCCATTTTACCTACTTACATTCCCTGGCTATGTCCTATAGGAAATGAATTACTGATCCCATTCACATAATAAAGCTCAACTTCTTCATTTTAATTAGCCCAAGTAGATTTTCTGTTACTTGCAATAAAAATACCTCGATGAGAACTCTGTGGCTATGCATTCATGACAGCCTCCTCTCAACCGTCGCCCATCCAATAGCCATTGCCATCTTTCTTCCATGCTAGGAGAATCCCAATTTGGGGTTCAATAATCTGTGGGTGTTCCTTGGAAAATAGGCCCTTACTTCTAGCCCTAGGGGAGGACTCATGTCCTCACCTGGGCATAGTGCCCAGGTCTGACCAATGAGAAGTCCTGGTAAATCTATGGAAGGACTTCCCTTTCTAACCCAACCAATGGGCCCTTCGGAAAGAAAACCTTTGGTGACTGCTCTTTTCCCATTCAACCTCCCCTGAAAATAATAAATGACTGGCTCCTTGGCAGCCGTCTTACGACTGTGGTTTCAAGCATAGGCACAAACGGCCAACATGCAGAGGATGACAGAGGAACGGCAAAAAGAAGCCGGGTCCTTGATCATATTATTGAGATGCTGAACCTTCCCTGGACTCTGCCTGACTTTGGGCTTGTTAAATGAGCAATCACTATTTTAATGGTTTAAGCCACTATTGACTGTGTTTGCTGCTACTTGAAGCTGAAGGGATCTTAGTCCTTTGAAGTCTATTAGTAATAAGCAGGGGACACTCTTCATCTTATCATTCAAGGCTTCCTGTTGCTTAACATTATTAAAAACAAAGTGTATCCATATACTTATTTCAAAGTCAATCCCTAAGATACTCTTTTGTCTCATTGCCAACACCACCATGGTCATTTATGTATTTCTGAAAAGACTTGAAGAGAAATAAAGAAACAAATAACCCTCTTTTTATGTTTTTGCCATTTTCAGAGATCTTTCCTAATACTGAAAGAAACACATGATGTTTCCATTAATGGAAACAAGAGCTTTTTGCTCAAAATTAGATACAAACATCATTGGCGAAAGGCCTCGTGTATTTCAGAGGCTTAGGTGATCTTCTGTGGCAGTTCTTTATCATTCAATAATATTGATTTTTTTTTAAAGGGCGGGCTATTTAGGGCGGCGCCTGTGGCTCAAAGAAGTAGGGTGTTGGACCCATATGCCAGAGGTGGCGGGTTCAAACCCAACCCCCAGCCAAAAACTACAAAAAAAAAAAAAAAAAAAAAAAGGAGGGATATTAACAAGACAATGAGTTTTAAACATTCATTTTCTCAGGCAGA